AAATAGAAAATTATCAATTTAAGAAAATGACTGGTCGATAACAACTTTTGTACCAGTGCTTCGAAAGATATTCACAATTTTGCACTTAGGTAGATGTAGAAAAACATTCGAGAAATGACTAATGATATAAATAGCAACATTTTCCCTTCACCGCTTGTCCATACTATAAAATGCTATTAACTTCGCAGGTATTAAACAAAAAGTTATTATGGAACAGTCATTTTCTTAATTAGATCATTTTTTATTTTATAAACTAGTTAAATATGTATGTTACCATTTAAAAAAAATAAAGTAAAAATCACGTTGTACTGTTTACTTTTAGTGTACTGTCAATTATTTTTGAAATTAATAATATTCAATTTGGGTTTCTCCAAATCTCTTTCGTTTGAATAATCTTTTAAGTATTAAAATGCAATGTTATGATTATAGGTTTAAGAAGAACAATATTTAAATGCGGAAAATTTTTGCAAGTTGTACAAATATGTATATGTTGGATATTTTAGCTTCGATGCGAAGCTGAGAAGGTATTAGTTTTATTATGATGTGTTTTTTTATGTGCCTGTTACCACTTTTTCTCAGCTCTCACAGAACCGAATTTTCTCAACGATACATCAAAAGATTAAAAATCGTATCTAATTAAAGACTTTACCCTTAAAAATTGATGAATTTTTCTTCGTTCCCTGTAATTGGTGGAAATCCCCAAAAAATTACGAATTTTAATATCGGTAAATTTCGACATTTTTTTTCTAAAAATTGGCATAACTTATTGAAAAATAACAAATCAAAATAATTTTTTTTTATAGATGCATGATGTTTTTACATATCATTTGGTATGTTGTTTTTATAAATCTGACCCTTTACCTGTTTACAATGGGGATTTAAAATAACATCTTTTTCACAAAAAATTAAATTTTTCAACTTAACTTTTAAAAGTGTTCCAGAAAGGCTGACATTTTTATATATATCTTAAATTAAAGCTAATGTAATATAATTTATCATGTAAAAAAAAATTTCGGACTTTATTTTGTCTTCATGGTGAAAATAGTTACCAAATGATATTTTTGTGTGAAAATTCTCGATTTTATATTTTGCATGTTTAACTTTATATTTATATATTTTGAAAAATGTATGGATCAATACAATTTTTCATGAGAAGTTATATTTATATATCTTTAATTCGACATATTTTTTTTTTAAATCGAACCATTACCTATATACAATGGGTGTTAAAAATTAAAAAATGCAAATAGAAAGTAGAATTTTTTCAACTTAATTTTTGAAAATGTTCCAGAATGTTTGACACTTTTATATATATTTTAAATTAAAGCTTATGTAATATACTTTATTATGGAAAGAAAAAGTTTGGACTTTATTTTATCACACATCAAAGTTAATACAAAAAATACGATTTTTGTTAATAATTCTTTTTTATATTGTTAACTTTATAATGCTATACCTTTTTGAAAAATGTATGGATCATTATTTTTTTTTTGTGATAACTACTATTAATATACTTTTTTTATGAGAATACTTTTTTTTAAATAGGACCATTTCCCTTTATGAAGGAGAGGTTCAAAACTTATTTTGGATTATAGACAAATTTATTATTTTTTAATGTTTTCCAAATACTTAAATTTATTTATTCGTATACAAATTATACGACTAATTAATTGTTTAAATAAAAAAAATATTCTTCGATCTTTAATTATTATTCAATGATATATGTAGAATGTACAATTTGAATTGTATTAAATGTACATCTAATTATTTAATTATTATGGTATCGTTCGTAAAACAAAAATTAAGTTCAATTAAAATAAATGCATATTTATTAAACATTAGTGTTTTTGTTAAAATATGATTTGAATCAATTTATTCACAGTGCTACTGAAAAAGTTAATCTCATCGAATAAGTGTAGGATTGATAAGTTAAGGATAATTATCTGGCTATTATACGAAAAGAGCAATAAACGATTTTTGAAGTTGCCTTTTGCAGTTTATCTAGATTTTATGAGTGAGATACATTGTATAGTCGTGATGTGCGGTAACCGTAAATGGCCATTGCTCGACGAATTTGTTGTTCCACACCCAAGGGATCATGTTTTATTCCCGTTGTTGTTTTTCCATCGCTCTTGTGTTAAGTTATGTATCAAGCATTTTGGACGGCATCCTAGATCCAATTAGAAACGTGAATTTCCTGAAGCAAATAATTCGTTTTAAACTATTATACATGAGAATTTTACATTTTTTATAGGATTTTCCACACATGAGTAAATTTTTTCACCCATTTCCACCTGATAACGAAGTATAAGGAAGTCGTTTGTTTTTGACTGTAACACGGCCGCCGGGGATTGACGACCGGTTATAGAAAGTGTACCGGAAATCATGTGAAAAAAAAGAGGCATGGTACGGGATTAGAACCCGCGACCCAAGGCGTCGTATAGACAAACCTTACCACTAGGCCACCGTGCACTTATGATTCAGATTACACTTTCATTTAGGTTGATAACGTGATGTGCGGCTGAGGGAAACACGGTACCGTGTCAACTGGTTCCCCAAATAGCTTGTGCTAAATAATATCCAAAATATCATTTTAATGATTCAAAAGTTTTAACTTGCTGATTTCTCATAAAAATCATTACTTTAAAGAATTATTGATCGAGATTAGTGAAAGAAACTAAAAGCAGGTTAATCGTGTTCATAATTGTGTCGCTGTATAGCATATATTGCTATTACTCAAACTGTACGTACAAATGTATAATCAACGTAAAGAATTCAAATAATAATAAGAACTTTTTTTTAATGATTGACTATTATAATGACTAAATACCTTCCAGGGTCCTTAATAGTAGTGTCTGAAATACTGTGGTCAAGCCAACATTCCGTTTGTTCGAAGTAGTTAGCTCAATTAGTATGTTGTGTGTAGCAAAACGTTCTCAAAATTCTACCTATTTCCCTATTCTTACGTTTTATTGAGTTACTTTGAGGGTTATATACTGCCGTAAATTTACATTCAATTTCTACATTATTTAAATTTTCTTTCCACTTTTATTGATTGAAATTATACATCATTGTCTATTAAAACTCTTAATAATTAATCAACTGGTATAGCTTTACACATCATCTATTAACACAAACAAATTTTCAGACATTACAAGAAATTTCAAAAATGTTGGATAATAGTGTTTTTTCTTTTGTCAAAAAAAATTAAAAACTTCAAACCAATTATTATTTATTTATTTGAATTTTTTTTGTTAACATATTTATTAATATTACCAAACTATGATCTTAATTATAAAATATAATTTTTATATTCTCTTGTAAGAACATTTATTACTATGTTCTTACCACTTATATTACACACGTTTTAATTATATTTATTTAATTCGTAATACATATTAATTAGCATAGAGGGAGATGCTGATGTGACAATTCTACTCGTCGGTAGTCCGGAGCTACTGACGTCGAACTAACAAAGGGCAGTTGTGTTTGAGTGGCCGTTATAGACATAATTTTCAATATTATTACTTTCGTCATATTTATATTATTTATAACTTTACTTGTTTTATTCAACGACCCGTCTATCGCCAATTATCATCATAGTCAACCAACTCCGTCTCACTTGGATATACCTGCTAACCAACTGTACTAGGATTCAGGTCAGACGTATTGTACATTACATATAACTTATATTTACTGAACATCTAAAATATAACTTTACTTTGTCGTTGACATAAAACAATAGTCTAATTTTATTTAATAATCTATCCTCTGTAACTAAGGTACACGATTGCCTGTGTCTCCTTCAGGCAATTAAAACTCATTTAAGGAGATAGGGACGATATTTGGGCAGACGTCGGGTAGCTTCCGATTCTTGGTTTTGACCAAGATCCTCAACTATTAAACAANTCGGGTAGCTTCCGATTCTTGGTTTTGACCAAGATCCTTAACTATTAAACAAACCCCTAACATATGGTGGAGACGCCGGTCTTTGTATTTTAATTGAGTTCCAAGATATACTTTCTATTTTTTTTTTTTTTAAGGCACTCATATACGAAGTCGATTCCCCTAAAGTGTACACGAGTGACAGTTAGATTATTTAAGTAAAATTTTTTATTATTAATATTATAATTTTTTCTGGAATGTCAATTGCTGTTTGGGCGTAATAATAATTTCTACCATTTTGGTTTTTTTTTTATTTTATTTTGGTTTTTTTGTATAAGTGTATAATTTATAAAAATATGCAAAATTTTATCGAACCGTTATCATATTCGGGAGATGTGGAAACAGATATAGATAAATATCTTAAATATTTCGATCGCGTAGCAAAAGCAAATGAATGGGATGATAATAAAAAACTTTCTATGTTACCCTTATATTTACAGGATCATGCACTTAAAATATTTGAATTTATAGAATATCGATCGACAAATTTAACTTGGGAAGATGTTAAACTGTCATTAATTAATTTTAACTCTTACAATAATCTAAATTTAATAAGAAAAAATTTAATTATGATGAAAATGACGGAAAGTGAATCGATTAAAAATTTTTTAGTAAGAGTAGTAGCAGAATGTCGTAGGTTTGACGGTATAATGTCGGAAAAACATATCATAGAGTATTTTTTTAAGGGACTACCAGTTGAAATAATTAATAAATTTGAGTCATTAGATAATAGTACAATAGATAAATTAATAGAAAATATTTTAAGAATTGAGAGAAATACAAATTTGATAAATGACGATAGCGATGTAGGCATTTTGAAAAGGGAATTAGATTCTCTTTTAAAAAAACATAATGCTAAATTTAATGATTATGGAAATGTAAATTATGTAGGTAACCAAAGTTTAATGACATATCCAAACCATAATCAGCGTAGAGTAATGAATTGTAGGACAAATAAATGTAGATTCAACAAATTAAGTAAAAATTTTAGAAATAATGTAAATAAGAACTATAACAATAAAAATTATAGAGGAAATTTTTATAGGGTTAACAATATGAATAGGCACTTTTATCATAATAACCGTCGCGTTAACTATGGTTATATACGGAAATCACCACATTATCTTCAAAATAATCCTAATTTAGAGAATTCACCCCATCAGTTAGCCATTCAACATTACGTTCCACCTACTATTTCTTACAATTTTTCTCTTCAACCACCATCAATATGTAATAGCGCGCACAATTCTAATCAATTAAAAGTGAATAACATTGACCCACCTTTAATTAATGAAAAAGTCAATATTAATGATATGGTAACTAGTTATGAATTAAACAATCAATTCTTGAATTTAATTAAAACTAACGATCCTCCGCTAATAATGGGCAAAGTAAATAAAAAAGATATTATTTTCGTGGTTGATACAGGAGCGAGTACAAGTATTATAAATAAGAATTTTTTACCCAGTGATCATATCATTTATCCACTTAATAATGTTACATTAACTACAGCTAACGGATCACATTTGCATGTGGTAGGTAAAACTACTTTAGAGGTAAAATTTGAAAGAGATATATTTTTGATAGACTTTACCGTAGTCGATAATTTATCTTTAAATAGTTTATTAGGATATGATTTTTTAAAAAAATATAGCGCGACAATCTACACCCGAGAGGCTAAAATTACTTTATTAAAAAACGATGAAAGAGTGAATATAAATTTTGTTTACAATAACAATATCTTGACATTTAATACAAATATTGATCAACCAAAAAAATTCGACAACTTAAAATCTATCAAACTCATGAGTAATCATTCAATAAATCTTGTACAGTTGAGTGTTAGTGAAATTGCCGCGAAAAGCGACATTTTAACACAAGTAGCACCAGACGGTTGGTGTGGAGTATCAACACTCGAAGCAATCTTAAATAATAGAGGTATAGATATTAATGCTTATGAAATTAAAAAATTATTAGGAATCGATCTGTCTGATAAGCCAATTTATTTAGAAAGTGAAGACTTAGCAGCCGTCACAAATTATTTTGATTTAGGCTTAATAATTATAACAGAAAACAATAATATTAATTCTATATTACACTTTTCAAACCCTAACAAATCGTTTGTAATGGTTTTGTTTTCAAATTGCCATTGGACACCCTTAGTTTACAATCCAAATTCTAAATTAGTTCGCACATTTCGTAGTATTATTCAAATTAATGAATTTAATACTTTAGCCGTTAGAAAAAATATCTTGCAAAATAGAATAATTAAACGTGATTTTACTACCTTTCCAACATCTGAACGAGAAAACAAATTTAAAACACGTAGCGTTAAACAAGACGTAGCAAAAATCAGTAACAATGATTCCCACACGAACACGACTCAATTCTCAGAAAACGTTAAAAGTAATATTTCGTTATCTCCTACGGTTACAACATCTGAAAACGAACTAGACTGGGACATTAATCCAGCGTTACCTATTGATCAGCAAAATAAACTTAGAGGTTTATTAATGAAATATAGTACAATTTTTTCTAAACATAAATATGATTTAGGCTCGTGTAAAGTTGCTCCGATAGAACTTCAGTTATCAAGTAATAAAATAATAAATTTACCTAATTTTAAGTTAAGCCGCGTAGAGCGTAATGAAATCGAAAAACAGACAGAGGAACTTTTAAAAGCTGGTATTGTAGAGGAATCTTCAAGTCCTTATTCTAATCCTGTGTTTTTAGTCGCTAAAAATCAAGGACAATGCAGCAAAAGTCAAGAGGGATCAAAAGAATACAGAATGGTAATAGACTTTCGAAAACTTAATGAAATAATTTATCGTGAAAGCTTCCCTTTACCAATAATACAAAATTTATATGATTGTTTAGCAGGAAATCAATATTTTAGTTCTTTAGATGCTACTTCAGGTTTCCATCAAATAGAACTTTCTGAAAATTCTAAAGCTCTTACAGCTTATTCAACTGAAAATTATCATGTTCAGTTTACTCGTTTACCTTTTGGGTTATCTAATGCACCCCAATTTTATCAAGCTGCTATGTGTAAAGTCATGGCTGGCTTAAATTATAGACACAATATATGCTATTTAGACGATTGCGTTGCATTTGGCAAATCATTCGAATCTCATTTACATTCACTAGAATTAACATTTCAACGATTTTTAAAGTATAACTTAAAACTAAAACCATCTAAGTGTAGATTTGGCTATCAGGAATTAAAAGTATTAGGCAACATTATTGATACGAAGGGAATAAGACCCACTCAACAGGGAATAGAAACTATACAAAAATTCCCACAACCTAAAACGATTAAACAACTTCGCAGTTTTTTAGGTCTAGCTAATTATTTTAGACGTTATATTCCAAAATTTAGTAACATCGCAAAACCTTTAACAGATCTAACTAGAGGTAAATTCAATAGCAAACGTTCACCAATCAAGTGGGAAGACACACATGAACGTGCTTTTCTTGAACTGAAAAGTAAATTAACTAGTCAGCCAGTATTAGCTCACTATGATGAAAATGCAGAAACTATAATTGTAACTGACGGTTCTAAATTGGGTTTAGGTGCTATCCTCCAGCAGCGTAATCAAAACAATGAAATTCATCCAGTAGCATTCTCATCCAAAAAACTGACTAAAGCCGAAGGCCGATATAGCGCAATGGATTTAGAGTGTCTAGCAATTTTTCACGCATTAACTGTTTTTCGTCCTTATGTTCATGGAAAGTACTTCGAAATTTGGACTGATCATAAAAACTTAACAAGCTTATTAAATATTAAAACTGATTCACGTATAGTTAATAAACTTAAAGTTAAACTAACAGGTTTTGATTATTCTATAAAATATAAAGAAGGAATTTTTAATAAAGCTGCAGATTGTCTTAGTAGAATAATAGACGAACCACCAAAACTTTCTGAATTTACAGAGCTTTCAAAAATAGGCGTACATACAATATTACAACAACCCAACGTAAATTTAGTACAACCAATTAATATCCAATTAGAACAAGCTTCGGATAATTATTTACAAAATATCATAACTGCAATTAAAAATCCAAATGAAAGCAATACTACATGGCTTAATAAGTCAAAAAATTATATTATCAAGGATAACAATGTATTATACTACAAAAATAGTTTTAAAGATTCTTCTAAGTTCGTGCTCGCGTTACCTAGCAAATTTAAAAAAATTGTAATTCACGAAAATCATGATTCGGTGCTAGGTGGACACCAAGGTCTTACTAAAACTTATTTTAAAATAAGGTCACGGTATTATTGGCCTAAAATGCGTAAAGAAATAAAAACGTATGTTCTTTCATGTTTAGATTGTCAAAAACGTAAGCCTTTTAAACAACCCAAACCGCCTAAAATAGGAATGTACCCTCTAGAAAAAGGGGAAATTATGCAAGAAATATATTTGGATTATATTGGGCCACTTAGTAATTTAAAATCTAATAAATATATTCTAGTAGCAACAGACAGAATAAGTAAGTTTTGCGTAGCAAAAGCGTACAAAATGCAAATGCGCGTAGTACGGTTAAATTTCTTTTAGATCTTATATTACGTTTTGGATGTATGCGTACTATAAGAAGCGACAATGGAACACATTTCACAGGTAAAACGGTTAAACAACTATTAGAATCATTAAATGTAGATCAGAAATTCGGCATACCCTATCATCCAACTTCTCAGGGCCAAGTAGAGCGTCAAAACCAAACTCTGGTTGATATGATCTCTAATTATGTTAAAGATAATGAAAAATTGTGGTCAGATTATCTACCATATATGGTATTTGCTTACAACAGTTCTATTCATAAAGTTACAGGTTATTCACCATTCTACTTAGTCCATGGGTTCGAGCCCAAAAGCGTCTTTGAATTAGCTTTAATACCACCAGAAGATCAAAACATACTCTCAGAGATCTCAAAAATCAAGAAAATAAGAAAATTAGTTCCTGAATTGCTTAAACAAGCGTCTGAACAAGTGAAACAAAAGCATCCTTTGTCGAACACCACACAATATAATATTGGTGATAAAGTTTTAGTCAAAAACGAAACATCTAATACTAAATTTCGAGATCGTTACAATGGACCATATGAAATTATAAAAGCTTATCCACCTTTTACATACATTGTAAAAATGCCAAAAAATAACAGATTAGAAAATTTACCGGTCCATATTGACCAAATAAAACCATTTCATAGCAGGTCAGGAGAATAAAATAACTTTACAATTTTACTTAAATTTAAACCACATTTTTACTATTTTTATTTTGTTTCATATAAATTTGTTTTTTTTTTTTTTGATATTGATGGCTTACTCATTTATAATTGTCAATATAAATAATTTTTATTCTCAATTAATTTTATTTTATATAACTACTTTCTGAATTAGACGCGGTCTTGAATAATTATTATATTAATTCTTGAATTTATATTTTTACTTTTGTCAGTCATCGGATAAAGGATCAAAGATAAATGCTGACTAGCGCGATAATAATTTTGTCAACTATTTATGTATTAATAATGCACATCAAAACATAATATGGAATGCATCTTGTATAGTAGATGGTTAAAAGTGCTTGAATTAATTATAAATGTTTTTAAAAAAATTTTAACCTTTATCGTATTTAAACAAAAATTATAGTAACAAGAGGTTACAATATTAAAGAATCACAATTATTTCTAAAATGAAAATTATGGCTTAAATGCTATACTTTTACTGCTTACAACTTGCTATTAATATGAATTTTACATTTTATTACAGCATAATAAAAATCTTAAACTAGCTTGCTATTTATGCTTTATTAATACACTATTATTTTGGAATGCTATAATTCGTACGCATATTAAAGAAATATTTTTTACATTTTTAAAATACTGATTATTCTCAGTCCAACGATCTTTATTATGTTAACATATGAAACTCTAGTTTGGTCGGCAATAACACCTAACGTTCTTGCTGATGAAGCGATTGGCCACCGCGACATCACAAAAACGTGACCCTGACATTCATCATTATTTTACGTGACGACGTTTGATGATGATAAATATTTTACATAGTATTACAATTATGTAGTATTACTTATTAAAATCAATTATTTTAGCATCTTAATACTGCTCGATTAATATTATTTTAGATTTTGATCATTGTGATAATTATTAAATTTTATGAGTATTATATTATTTTTATCAAATTTTCTTTTATTCCAGCAGCGACCGAAGATTTTTCCGGCACTGTCTGATGATGATTATTAATTTTATTATTTATTATGTTTATTTAAAAAAAAAGGAATATTTATTGAAAGTCAAAAAGAAAGCTGACATATTTCAGTCTAATTATTATTGCTATAAGCATTTTTATTATATTTGATTTGTATTTTATTCCAGCAGCGACCGAAGATTTTTCCGGCACTGTCTGATGATGATTATTACTATAATTATTTGTGATTCCAATTAACGGTTTATTTTAATCTAATTATTAATACGTCATTATTTAATATTTTTTTTTAAATATATTTATTGAAAGTTCAATTATTATTGCTATAAGCATTATTATTATAATTGATTTGTATTTTATTCCAGCGTGTCCGACGATTATTTTTTCCGGCATCGTCTGATGATTGGTCTATTTAAAAAAAAAAAAAAGAGAGAAAACAGGAATTACAGTTCGTTCAATACGACTTTAAAAACAAAATTACTACTTAATAAGGATAAAAGTTTTACTGTTTGACAAATCAAACTACAGCGATAAAAACATACTGTATTTTAAGTTGAACAAAAAATACGTTATTAGTAAATGAACTTAAATAATAAACTTACATAAGTCGATCTAACACATAACTCAAGATGACCATTATAACATTTTTAAAATAACTGAATGGCAATTGATATACTAGTTTTTGTTAATTTTTCTGATCATATTAATCAAATATACAGTTTAATATAAGTCAATGTACTGCATGATATTAATTAAGGTTGGTTAAATAAAATGAAAATTAATTTTTAGATATGTTACAGGCATTGACAGGTTGATTGCTAAGAAAACATTAATGATGATCCACTTAAAAACTTTAAACAAAACTGCCGTTTTCACGGCAAACTGTCTAATAACTTTCATTTTTATTATTTCAGTACACATTAAATTATAGTGTAATAACATATTACTAGATAATATTACATATTGAAACTAACTGTCATTGACTACTAAGCGCAAGATTAGCAACATCAATTTACAACTTTTTGTCATAGACTAATTGTTTATTTTTTATTCCGCGTATAGAAACCTGATTCTGATTTTTACGTTCTGTACAGTTGGACTAGTAGACTAGGTATAATAAGTATTATTTAAATACATGAATATTTTTATATTGTATAATAACTATAAAATAGTCCCGTTATCACAATTTTTATATAAGTTATTATGCATTGTGTAGTTAAAAGTAAGATAGAAAATTGTAAATTTGTAGAATTTTTAGCAACGTTTTTATTCTATAAATTAGGTTAACTTAAATTAATTTTGATTGTAAAATAAATTTAAACATATAAAAAATTTATATATTCATTTCTATTCAATCGCAATGCATAATCATAAGTCTAACTTTGTAACCTAACATTAACATATAAATTTACCCTATGAAATGTAAATAAAAGCAAAAATCTTGTAGTGACAACGAACTTCGAGAACAACAGAATAAGTCGTAGGAGGCAATTATAATATATACTATGAATATCACCACTATCAATTAAAACGAATACCACAACTAATTACGTAAGAAAACAACAATTTAAGAACGCATGAAGATACAAGATTACAAGAAGTTTCGTGAACATAACAAGGTTCCCACCCCTAATTTTAAAGAGAACCATAACTTAAAAGCTTTATAAGCATTATTAGACAAATTTTTTTTTCTTCTTCTTTCTTTTCTCTTTTTCTTAATATTTTGACCTTTTATAAGGTTCAGAGTCGAACCTTTAATAGGGGAGAGAGTACTGTAAGAACATTTATTACTATGTTCTTACCACTTATATTACACACGTTTTAATTATATTTATTTAATTCGTAATACATATTAATTAGCATAGAGGGAGATGCTGATGTGACAATTCTACTCGTCTGTAGTCCGGAGCTACTGACGTCGAAATAACAAAGGACAGTTGTGTTTGAGTGGCCGTTATAGACATAATTTTCAATATTATTACTTTCGTCTTATTTATATTATTTATAACTTTACTTGTTTTATTCAACGACCCGTCTATCGCCAATTGTCATCATAGCCAACCAACTCCGTCTCACTTGGATATACCTACTAACCAACTGTACTAGGATTCAGGTCAGACGTATTGTACATTACATATAACTTATATTTACTGAACATCTAAATATAACCTTACTTTGTCGTTGACATAAAACAATAGTCTAATTTTATTTAATAATCTATCCCCTGTAACTAAGGTACACGATTGCCTGTGTCTCCTTCAGGCAATTAAAACTTATTTAAGGAGATAGGGACGATATTTGAGCAGACGTCGGGTAGCTTCCGATTCTTGGTTTTGACCAAGATCCTCAACTATTAAACAAGCCCCTAACAAAGCCTTTTGGTGCTTTTGAAGATTTTCTCTTCCGATTAGAAAACAGTATAAGAAACAAGAATACTGGGGTCTTAATAGCAGGGGATTTCAATGCTCGATCTATGATGTGGGGAGATTGGGAATCGAATCCCAGCGGACACGCACTATGTGATTTGTTGGCCAGCCTGGATCTACATTTACTGAATCAGGGAAACAGTCCAACTTTTGTAGGTGCTGGTCGGGGTTCGGTAGTAGACATTGCGTTTGTGTCAACCAACCTCATATCTCGGACAGCTAATTGGAAGGTGCTTGCTGATCAGTATAATGGTTCGGATCACCACTATATCAGTTTCTCTCTAGGATGTGATCACTCGCAGCTTTTCAGTTCATAATGGTTGGGTAATCAAAGGGATGGACGTTGAGATTTTCGAGACGGCCTACTTTCTGGCAGGCAACCGAGTTGGAGGAGGGAGGAGTTTGAATCGAGAGGATAACCCGGAAGTATGCCTTAGATATGGAAGATTTCCTGATCGTTGGAAAAGGGCCAGGCTTATCCTGCTGCCTATGACAAACAAGCCCAGAGGTATACCATCCTCCTATCGACCTCTGTGTCTCTTGGACGATGTTGGAAAGCTATTGGAATATTTAATAGTTCAAAGATTGGAAGCTCATCTGTCCAGGAACGGCGGTCTAGCAAGCGGGCAGTTTGGGTTCAGACGAGGTCGGTCAACAGACGAGATGCTCTTATTACTGTCAGGGAGCTGGCGCAAAAGGCCGTTAATGCCTATAAAGCTTGCCTGGCAGTAAGCATAGATATTAAAAATGCATTTAACACAATCGGCTCGGATCACGTGCTAGCGGCACTAGACAACTGGGATGTCCCACGATACTTAACAAGGCTTCTGCGGTCGTACTTTACTGGTCGGTCGGTTGTATATCACAGTTCGACTCTGTCTGAGCCGTTTCAACACGAAGTCACATGTGGGGTACCGCAAGGTTCGGTACTGGGTCCTCTTCTATGGAACCTAGCGTACGATAAGGTAATTGGAATTGAGGTACCAAATGGTGTTCAATTGATAGGATTTGCTGATGATACAATGATAATGGCGGAGGCAGATGACGTAGAAGAGGTATCGAGTTTAATGAACGCGACACTGGAACGAGTTGCAACAACAATATCAGTACTTGGACTTGAGTTGGCGGTGGAAAAGACGGAAGCTGTCTATTTCCGCAGGAAGTACAAAGACCATGTGCCGCAGATACATCTTATGGGTTGTGCTGTTCCGATCAGTGACAGCATGAATTATCTAGGTATACTCCTTGATAAGGACCTTATGTTTAAGCAACATGTAAAGGAGGTATCGGCTAAAGCAATGAGAGTGGCGAACGGACTCAGTAGGTTGATGCCAAATATTGGTGGCCCACAAGAGGCTAGACGCCGATTGCTAAATTCAGTGGTACACTCCGTCCTGCTATATGGCGCTCCGGTGTGGGCGAGTGTGCTTCAGTATGTTAAGGCGAGTGTTGATACATTAAGGAGTGTCCAGAGACGCGTTCTACTAAGAAACATCAGGGCATACAGAACAGTGAGCCACACCGCGACGAACGTTTTGGCGTCGATACCTCCTGTAGAGCTATTGGCAGTGGAGCGTGCCAGAGCGTACTCGTACAGAGGTATCCGCGGGACAGAGGTAATGGATTGGAGGCAGCAGTTGAGGAAGAGGACGATGAGAGAGTGGCAATCGGAGTTGAGTGCTGCAACGTCGGGAGAATGGACCAGGCGATTCCTACTAGAAGTAGAGGGCTGGGCAACGAGAAAGCATGGATCTCTCAGTTTCCACCTTACACAAATGCTATCGGGTCACGGCTGTTTCTCTGATTCTTAGTAAAAATAAAGAAGTCCACGGATTCAATTTGTTTTGTTTGTCAGGAGACAACGGACAGTGCCGAGCACACTTTGCTGTACTGCCCGGCTTGGCATGAAGAGCGGAGAATTCTTGAAATGGCCTTAGGGCAGATAACCGTGGAGACAATGTGTAGCAAGATGTTGCAGTCCCACGACGGGTGGAGGGCGGTGGAAAATTTTGCCTGTACCGTGCTAAAGAAGAAGGAAGAAGTAGAAAGGGAGTTGGAGCGCATGGCTGGTGCTGGACGGCGGGATCCGTGATCCGGTCCAGGGAGACGTACTACATATTCGCTGAAATGATCCACTCGTACGAAGAATATAGATGAGAATATTGTAAATTGTAAATACTCTTATGATGTTAAGTTTTTATGGTTGTAAATATGATTGTATTGTTAGATGGAAATCATCCTTAATTATGTATATATTATAGGTAATAGGTTATAAATTATAAAAGTAGATGTTTAAGAAACAGTGTTATATTATTATAGTTGTTAAGATGAGATATTGTCATAGTTGTAAGGCATTGATGTTATAATTGTAGTAGTTCTGTCATGTAATATTGTAAAAACGATGTATTGATATTTTTCTGAATAAACGGTGCCGGGTGTCCCGGGGGAAGTAATGCTTAACGGCGAGTTCCCCGCGGGTCATCTATGGGCACACATGCACTTAAAAAAAAAAAAAAAAGCATTCCAAATCTGAGTGTTTAGACTTTTTTTAGATGTTGAATATGTCAATACGAGTTCATTTTTGTCAATACATGCCTTAAAAAATATAAGTATAAATAACTATGCTATGTACACATATTTTTCACTTACGATGTTAAATACTTCTTTCTTTTTGATAACATTGGTAAGGATATTCATCGAGGACGTGTCGAAAAATTCTCCATTTACTCCTTGAAGTTTAACGCGATACTCTTCGGGCTGTTTAAGATTTTTGTCATTTACTTTGGTAACTGTTAAATTTTGCATGTAGTCATAAAACCTTACCGATCACCTCTCTCTAACGGTGCCATAATTATATTCAATAATATAGCAAATTAATTTGACGGCTGTTTTCGAAAATAGACTTGCGAATGTCGCGTTGATTTCAAAATTTTTGAATTTTTATTTCGACGCGTTTGAGACTTATAGACTAGTTTGGCTTCCACAAGAGCTTATATGTGCTAAGTTCACTGGTTAGACTAAAAGTCCCAATGCATTTTCAGTTTACTAGATCTTTTATACTAATTTTTTTCCGTTTTTTTGGCCAACAACAAATAACGTTGCTAAACAAATTTTCATTATTTCAAAAATAAATATGTTATTTTAAGATCACCATAATAGATTGCTTTCAGCCAATATTTAAATTATATTTTTTCCAGTTATACAAAATGAAAAAAATTGATTTAGTAACGTTATTTTGTCGTTGGCCAAAAAGTCTTGTTTATTTTTTATTTAAGCCAATTAATATCACAAAATATTTTTAATAATTAGCTAACATTTATTAAATTTGTTTAATAAAGTACTCATTTCAGTCACTAAGTTACAATTACTTTTTATTCTGGCGTATACATGTACAGAGTGATCGATTAACTATGTCTTACAAATTATCTAAGAAAATATAAGAATAATTTTTTTTTCTTTATGAAATATGATGTTTCTATCTTGGTCTGCTCAGTAAGTAAAATTATATTTTTTTGATCATTCCTAATGCTTTAAATCAGTATCAAAATTCAATTTTCAAATGGTAATCCTAGTTTTTTCATATTATCAGATTAAATTTAGTTTTAAAATAATTTTTTGTAAAAATTTATTCTATTTTATTCAATTATCAGGGAGCTATAATTTATTTTATTACTCACGTCAAAGAAGAGCAAGCGTTTCTAAGTTTTTCCCGTTGCAGTTAAATACATCGGTAGTTCTTAATAGTACACTAAACATTAATGTTACTGAATTTACCTAACTACTGTTTTATTTGTTAAATCCCCCGAACTTTAAATATTAATATCTTTCAAATTTATTAAAATTGATTTTTTTTTTTTTTGAGAATTTTTTTTATACTAATCTAGATTAATAAATAAAAGAACGGGGTTGCTATTTGAAAAACTAAATTTGATTTGAGGGTTAAGGGATAAAGATAGAATCTTTATTTTTCCTGTCAACTAGTTCAACAAAGATTTACAGCAAATAAAATAATTACATATATGATAACACCAATATTATAAGAAAATTCGCGAGGAATAGTTAGTCAATCACCTGTATAATTCGAAAAAATGTAGTTTAAATATTGGCTGAATACAATCTATTATGGTGATCATAAACATGAGGATAAAAAGCAATTGTAACTTAGTGACTGAAATAAGTTATTTTATTAAACAAATTTAATAATTGTTAGCTAATCAATAAAAATATTTTGTTATATTAATTGGCTTAAATAAAAAGTAAACAAGACTTTTTGGCCAACGACAAATAATGTTGATAAAATAATTTTATAATAATAAAATAATCAACATTTACTACGATTATGGTTTACCTATTGGATTAATTTACCTCGTTTCGACCTGTAGTTTTAGGTATGTGCAGTGCTACGTTGGGAGCAATACTTCTCAGCAGGCCTGAAAGTGAAGACTTGAATTTATTCTGAGTTTAAATTTATTCAGCTTCAACTGCCCTCACATAANTTATTCAGCTTCAATTGCCTTCACATACTAAAATTTGAAGGTTTCCATTTCGCGATTCCGTTTGTAGTTCCGAATGTGTTAATCAGCCCCCTGATACGTTGCCGCCGTATAATTTAGAAATGCGATTAATGAAAGATCCAATGTTATATGCCGAGTACTGCGCATTCATAGCTGAATATGCCAATCTGGGTCATATGAGACCAGCCACTCAACCTGGTTATTATTACATACCGCATCATGCCGTAGTAAAACGCGATGGCGTAAATGTCGAAAAAGTACGTGTGGTGTTTGACGCAAGTGCCACCACATCAACCGGATATTCCTTGAATAACGTATTATTAACTGTCATACACTTCAAAACGATATATTCGACATTATTCAAAAGAATAGGCTTAAGCGTTGTGTGTTAACCGCTGATATTACAAAAATGTATCGCCAGGTATTAGTCCGAGACGCAGACTTCCATGGTATCAGCATATTTTGTGGCAAGACTCAGTCGAGTCCGAGATTATTGAATATGAGTTATGCACAGTTACGTATGGTGTTACGTCAGCTTCTTACCTCACCATAAAATGCTTCTATGAGTTAGACGCTCNAAGTAGAAGGAATGCCAATGTCTGCAGATTTGCGTTTTCTTTCGTTTTCTTTTTCTATCCTTAGCTGTCGTGTTTTTTCCAATAGTTCTTCTTTTTTATCAATACCTACCATACAGCCTGTTCGTCCTTTTTCGCGCTGTTTGATTAAAAATTGCTTATCCTCATCGTACTTAATAAGTATTAATGCATCTCTATGTGCTATATCGAACAAATCATTTAAAGAATCGCTAAATTCAGTTCGCTGTTTATTCAAACTTTCACTTGTTCTATTAATAGTTTTGGAGAGTGATTGCCACACTTCATAAAGTTTTTGTAGTTTTAATTTACACTTATGTAGTTCTTGTGTAGGAATTTTTGCTTTTTTCCAGTATATAACACATTCTTCAATAACCAATGATGCACTGACATTAAAGTTAAGCTTGGCAATTCGCATATTATAAAATAAAACACGTAAACAGTCACCATTTGAAGGTAATTTACTTCCGGTTATTTGGTGTTTAAAAAATCCAACAAGAAAAATTTTTTGGCGAAGTGACGACATACTTAACACAATTAAAAAATTGATACTTATTATAATATAAAAAAAAGACAATCGCTAGTAGAGATAAAAAGTTCAGAAACTACAAAAATATTGTGTTATCACGTCCTATAACTCTGTTAATGATAGTACTTTGTCATTCTAAGATATTTTTTTTTTGTTATTGTACTTAGAAAAATTATCAGTAAACAGGTTTATTAAACGGAATCCAGAAATCATGGCACAGTATGATATAAATAGCACAAAATAGTTCACGTTATAAAAATTAGAACATATCGATAAAATATTTTTATTATATTTATCAATACTTCAAAAACTATCAGTTTTAAGGGAAATTATCTAATAACATTTTTTATTTAAAATATCATTTTAAACAAATTTTATGTTTAAAATTTTTTTTGTAATGCGAAAATTAAACCAGATAATTACAAAAAACCAAATAGTTGGAAGTTTTCATAAATCACGAGTATTGTCGAGTTTTATTATTTTAACCAAAAAGTATTAAATAAACGCGAAATTGTAAGAAGATCTTTTTTATAGAAAATTACAATAGCTAAAATATTATATATTATAATATTTTTCGTAAAACAAAGTCTGTAGTCTAAAAATGTAAAACACTGAAATTTTTCATATTTTTCCAAAACTTTGAGCTTTATGTGCGCCCAGTTAATCAAGTAGTATAAAGCTCAAATTTTTTAGAGATTATCATTAGACATAAAGGAACAAATTTATGCCCGGCGCTTCTCAAATTTTAAAACTTAAAAAATAGCGACCACCCTAGTGGCTATAGATACGGGGTAGTGATAACAATAAAATGAAATAGAAAGGGTTCTCGGGGTATGTATGTTTGCGTGAAGACGTCTATTATACAGGGTGTTCAGTAAGTCAGGAAACGGGTATCTATTGTTCTCATTGTTTGTAACAATGAGAACAATAGATACCCGTTTCCTGACTTACTGAACACCCTGTATGAATAAGATGGAATTACAAAGAAGGGTCTTTACCTAGCTCCTGCACAGAAACGCGTACACTAATTTCTGGCGAGTCACAAGTATCGTATTTCTTTATAAAAGTATTTTAGTTTATTCTCAATGACCTATCTTGTTCTAATTGTTTATTACTAAAAGTTCTTCAGTAAAGGATTTATTATATAAACAAATGTTTCACTTACCTCTGACTAT